GAGAAACGTACTGATTGTGGAGCTACTGTGTACTAAAACTTTGTATCGCTGAGAATCATCGGAAAGAATTTCTACTGGAAACAAACAAGCAGATACGCAACAGTATTTTACAGTTTACAGCACCTGTTGGATATGTTATAGATCTAAGTAGGTTGTTGGTATTACTACTGTACTTAGTAATCTATGTAACTAATCCTACTTTCTATCAAACGAAACAACGGCAGCAGAATCTGACAGCTAACACTAACATTAGTAGCATTAGTCTAGACTCTCTAATATTGCTAAAGCCTAGACGACTAATCGCATATTAATAAACAGATCTAGTACTAATACACTAGTAGTAGTAACTAGTACAGTCTAGTTTAGTAACTTCTGGCCTTTCTAATAGTGTTAACATTACTAGATCTACTACTGTAGTAATTCTAGGCCAAGTCGGATCTTTTATTATTAATAAACAGTGAAAGTGAAAATATGTTCATCACATGGTTTACCTTTATAAAGCAATAAAGCTGTTTTTGGAAATTATTATTAACTGTTTAGTGCCAATATAAACCGATGAAACCACATATTTCTGTACTTTCACGAATACTGGCTTATTTAAGTTGTATATGCTATACAGCTGTAAAAATGCCAAAACAATGTTTTGCTTTTACTTCGAATATGACGTTTATGCGCACTCCAACTTATATAAACACCTTACACCAACACGAGGGATTCTCCTAGTGGTAACATATGGATACTAAGTTCATGATTAATTATGTAAAAAGAGTGTTTGAAATTTCAGAAACAATGTTGTTATACCGTATCATAAGAATGTCGTTTGGTCCTAATATCATTTTCTTTCAAAGTTCCTATTTTTGGTTCTGAATCAAGACTAGATAAAAATTACTAATGACATAAACCTTGTACGAAAATTTTCTGTATTTGTGCTCAAATAATAGCACACTGTATATAGTTATTTCAATTGGTTAAATCATTTTGACATTACGCATTTATAGAAATATATTTGTGACTACTCCTGATTAAGGTGCAAGTGCTTATACTATAGTTTATTTTACCTAAATAAACCAGTTAATTATTCATTTGTACATGTAAAGTTAAAAAAAGACAACTATAAATAGTGTGTGTGCGAAACTAATACATTTAATACTGTAAAACCCATAGAAGAATAATTTGTGTTGTACACATGCAAAAATAATGGCTAAAACATCAAACACTGATATATATATATATATATGTACATAAAAGATGAATGACTAATACACGTCATATATATCATGTATTTCACAACTTACTAGGCAGCCCTGAGAAACTAACGTCCTCTAGGATTTTGAAAAAAAATCTACAGTACATTTTCATAAATAATTTAATAAAAGCAGATCAAAGTTCAAGCAATAGTGATCAGTTAATCTTTTATAAATTTAAAACTAATACTGTAGTTTGTCCAAACTCTAAATGAAATACTAGAAACTAACGTCAGTTATAGATGGCTGCATTTCATTTTTTAATCACAGAATAACAAGTATCTTACAATTGGTAGAAAAATAATACAATAAAACAATACAATATATATATATATAGCTCTTTTCTCTATGTATCAGAGTGAAATGAGATAAAACAGTCTTAACTTCTACACCTTTATATTTTTACATATAATTCTATAGGCTTGTTTTAATGCTTTACTATTTTACATGATTAAACATAAAAATTATGTTCAAAAGGTTGAAAAAATTCTGGTAACTTAAGAAGAAGAAGACGAAAAAAACATGTTTATAGTCTTTGTTTTGGCGAGGTTCTGAAAGAAGCTTATTTAAGATAAACTAATATTAAAATTCAAAATATTAACAATTACTGAAGTTAGTGGTATGGAGCTGACAAAAAAATTAATACAAGTGAAGTAGCTTTTATTTACAAATGTAATTTTTAGATGGATTCCCAAGCTCTTGAGTTTGATCCACATGTAAAAGTTTTGTATCTCAAAAAAGAAAATACGAAAAATAATAATTTTAATAGATTTATTTTCTGCTAATGAGATCATTTCCAAATCATGAAGGGATAGAATTTTGTTATAATCTAAATACCTTAATTTTAATGCCATTTATAATAAACAATTTGAAATTTGAAACTAGCAAAGAGATACTTCCTGACAAACACATTTTTTATATTTTTCCCAATCACAGATATAGGTTTCTGGAAAGTAGTGGTCATGAAATACAACATTACTTTAAACTAGACATCTCTGTTATAAAAAGAAACTGGCTTAAAAATAAAATAAACTTTAAGAAGTTTCATCAGATCTTTATAATAATCCACAAATGAAAAATGCAATGTTATCTGAAACTTACAAAGAAAGGCATTTATCGAAAAAAACAACAACAACAAACTGATAACTAAAACAAAGTTCATAAATTACACAAATAAAATAAGAAGTTGTCTGTTTGAGAACTTTAGTGAACTGTAACTGCCTGTTGAAAGAAAAGGAGATGACATTTCTGCTTCCACTTAAAAAAGAAACTAGATTAATGGTAAACCAAAATGTTAATAAAAGTTTAACTGTACTGTGTATAAGAAACACAATGTCCCAATTACAGATAAATCACTTTTCTCTCTCAGGTAGAATAATGATAAAAAATTCTACATACCCCCCTAAAAATATTTTTAACAATGACACAAGCCTGAAGTGGTCTGTACATAAAGTATAATGCTTTTATCACTAAAATTGAACCAACAAGACTTGCTCACATGTGAACATCTTCAATAAATATATTATCTGGAGTGAGTACATCCCTTTCAGTGAGTATTTTTGAACTACACAATATTTTACAAACTCATATGATGTGAGCTGGCAATAGGAAGATTTGTTTTTAAGTGTTATCTCTTTTTCAAGTCATTTTTTGCTATCTTCTTCATCACGTGATATTTTCAAACAAAAAACACAATATAATTATTAAATAAATACTGCTTCTGGTGGTGGATGTGTACTTTGAATTTGTTGTTGAGGATGAAGTGCTGCTTGTTGTTGTGATTTCACTGAGGACAGTGTTTGCAGATTTTTTGCATTCATTGGGCTAGAAACACCTTCTGACCAATCACTTTGAGCAGAATAGGGGGAAGAGCTTGACCAATGCCCAGGAGATTCAGGAGAAGGAGTTAAGTATGTCTCTGGGGTGTGCAGATAGTGATGCTGAGTAACCTCTGACCCACTACAGCTGTGTTGGGAAGGAGGGGTTGGAAAATGAAATGGATGGTTAAAAGGCACTTGTTGCTGACCAGTTGCTGATCCCTGTGGATTTATGTTATGTAAACTTGAGTCCAGCATGACAGAGTAATCATAGGTGTGGCTGGCACTTTGTTGAGGTTGAATTTGTGCATTTTCTTGCTGGTGGGCAGCCCTTATTGCAACCATATGGGTGGGAGAGGTTGGAAGTGAGGGTCTTTGGTTTTCTGGAGAAGATGAAGAAAGTTGGTAGGATGTTGGCACCTGGGTCAGTGTTAGGTTATCTGGTATTGAACTCTGTTGAGAGCAAAGAGGTGTAATATTATTTATTTCCTGCAAATGAGGGAACATTCCCTCATTTACATATACCAGAAGCCCATCCTTACTTCTTATTGTTCCATAAGTCTGTGGATTAATACATTCATTATAATGAGGAGATTGTTTTATGGGCATTGTGCATGCTATACTATCTAACGATGTGAAAATAGGGTGAGTTAGGGCTAATTCATGTCCATTGTAAAAACTGTTTTCAAAAGAAAAATGTGTACCATTTGTAGGATTTGAATCAAAAGAGTTAAATAAGGGTAAGTTATTCTGTCCTTTCAATCCTTGTACAGCAGCTGGGATTTGCTCTTCATGTTTTTTAATTGAAGCTTTTTTTCTAATTCCTTCCTTACTATTCTGAAAAGAAAGGTTTTTCCCATTTTGTATAGACGTTGCAGCCATCTTGTTAATCTTTGACCTTCTCTTGGAGTTGGTAGATCTTGTGGAACCATTAATCATGGGTGGAGAGTTGCCACTTGTGCTATTAGGCATATGAGACATCTGGGGAATATATTCATCCAACATTCTCACAATATCATGATGCATACGTTCCAAGGCTACATCTCTTGGCAAACGATCCATTTCATCAGTAATGTCTCGATTTCCAAAGTGTTCTAACAGCACTCTAACACTTTGATAACTACCCTCTCTGGCAGCTAGGAACAGAGGTGTTTCCCCTTTTCCATCTTGGCCATCCCTATTTGCTCCACAGGCCAACAGAACTTGGACAGCATCTACATTATTAACTGCTGCTGCCCAGTGTAATGCTGTTTTCCCTAAAAATAAAGTGAAAAAAAATTGAATTATAATTGACATACTTAAGTACATTCAATACCTAACTACATAAAAAATGTATTGTTTCATCATGATATAAAATGTTTATAGTTTCACTGATAAATTAATGAAACTCAAACTAAATATTTAGTAAGTAGATAAGTATTTAATTCAAACTGTCTCTTAGAATTAAGATACCAGCAAACTCAGAATTAATGAACTGGATTTTAAAGTAAACACCTAGACTCAAGTTTGTTTTTGAATTTCGCGCAAAGCTACACGAAGGCTATCTGCGCTAACCATCCCTAATTTAGCAGTGTAAGACTAGAGAGAAGGCAGCTAGTCATCACCACCCACCGCCAACTCTTGGATTACTCTTTTACCAACAAATAGTGGGATTGACCGTCACATTATAATGCCCTCACGGCTGAAAGGGCGAGCATGTTTGGTGTAACAGGGAATCGAACCCGCGACCCTCAGATTACGAGTCAAATGCCTTAACCACCTGGCCATGCCAGGCCCCTAGACTCAAGAGAAGTGATTATAACTGAAGGTTTTTATTGCTAGGTTGGTGATCCAGTTTTTAAGAGGTATCATGCCGCACTCTCATATGCTTACTCTTTCATAAAGTCAGCAAAAATTAATATATTATACTCTTAATTGATCTTTTGACATTTTGCCTCTTAAGTATGCTGAGCATGAATAACTAAAATTTCAATTATGTTAATAAAATTCAAGACAATGATAAAATTTAACTGGCTACAAGAAATGAAAGTCCATTGATGGCAGAATCTGTATTGTTTAGAACTAGATTAAAGTTGCTAGTTTCTAATATAAATGCTGAGTTGAGAAGTTATATACAGAAAGCCATATTTTCTATAACAATATAAAAAAGAAGAATTAGACGTGTTGTTGTTTATTTCTAGTTCCTTTGCATTCCCTTCTAACAGTCTTCTCTAGTGTTGGTTATTATTAGCAACATATCTCACCAAGATTATCAGATGCATTAATATCAGCTTCTGCATTTATCAAGTCTTCGACCATTCCCTCAATAGCAAGTCTTGAAGCCAGGATCAATGGTGTTGTTCCATCATGCATTCTAGCATTTAGGTTTGTAGCTCTATTCCTTAACAAAATCTGAAAGTAGAATAACTAGTTAATACCAATGGATTTATTCATGAACCTTGATGTTTCATGAAATGCAAGCTTTAAACAAAAAAAAAATCTTGGAAACAAAGCTATTCAAACAAGTAGCTTTAAAAAATGTTCTCATGGCATAATAGCAATAGAAATTATTAAAATAAAACAACTAATCAAGTAACATTAAAAATGTAAAATGACCTTGAATCCTGCTAGGACACAATGCTTTACTTGAAACATTCTGTTCAACTTTTTTAGGACCTTATACTATTCAGCTATATTTTGTTAACTACATTAAATAAACTAATGCATAGCTTTTTTAATAGTAACTGTGTAGTGTAAGAAGTGCAATGGACCAATGAAAAAATAAGGTGTAATAATCTTTCCAAGTGATATTTTGATGCTTACAATGTTAGATATCTCAACAAAGAGCCTGAAAAGTTCCAGCATTATATACCATATAAACTAATGATTGGTATAAACAGTACAAATAGGCCTCCAGATGCTGTAACAAGCACCAAAACTGAGTGGAGGCTTCACTGACAGCAGGTAGCAATAAACTAGAATTGCCAAAATGCCTTAATAAATTATTGTTACTATAAGCCATATTTGATCAATTTAAAAGAGTATGGTGAATGACAACAGAACTTTGTTCGTTTTGTTGTGTTTACATTAAAAAAAAATATGTATATATATACACACTAATGTATTGTTAAAATAATGCTAAATATTACATTAATGAATGTAAATCCAAGTATTTAAGCATTATGTCATCATTACCTGAAAGACTCCCTGAGCATCAGCTGAGATGGCAGCATGTAAAGGAGTTCGACCAGTATTGTCCTGTGAATTGGCATCAGCACCTGCATCAAGAAGTCGTTTAGCAGCATCAGCACGAGCATATCTAGCAGCAAGATGGAGAGATGTTTCTCCTAGATTTTACAAAGACATAGAAGATAAATTAGGATGTGAATTCAACAATATACCATTAAGGGACCACAAGTAAGAACAAAATTTGTAAAAGAAGTTCCTTGTTAATGGAAATTAATCCCAATTCTTTACAAGGTGAGCTAAAAAGTTAATTTTAAAGTCTATCATCTTTGTATTCTGAGAGAACTCTTAAACATTAAATTTTTGCTTCCACATACTTTTCTAAAATAATATATTTTCTTGTACTATCAGTGAATGTTAGTTATACTAATAGCAAACCATGAAGTTGAAGAAATTAAATGCTTTTGTTAGTACTAAGTGGCTGGATTTTCCATTATTATTTTTACCAAATAATCCAAAAATTCCATCCAGCAATAGAAACCATTACAACAATAGCTATATTATTTGAATTTCTGGAAAAATGAAAAAATATTGTATTATTAACTACTCACTTTTTATAACAGTATGAAGTTTTAAAACAGCTATTTGTGGGATAACAGATTTATTTTTGTACAACATGCTTCCTTTTTACTTCTTTGTTTATGAAAAAAAAATCCATAATAAGTAACCTATCATATCATAACCTTTTGAGATTTTATCTTTATTAATCAATTTTTATTTATTCAGTTTGGGTGGAGAATTTAAATGACAAACCTGTTCGCTCAGTTGTCATGTTGATTATAGCTCCTTGATTAAGAAGGTCTTGTATCATGCTAACAGATCCGTAATCTTCCTCCACATCTTCACCTATATCCAAGCCTCCTCCTCGAAAGGATGCTAACATAAGGGGTGTGAGACCTCCTACATAAAATAAAATAAGGTTAGGGATAGAAAAACAAGAGCGTTGGAAAATAATACAGAAAAAGTAACACTATATTAGACAAGTAAAAACTGAAATATGAACAATATTTTAAAATCTATGGAATTAGTGGAGTTTTTACTCAGTTTTACATACTTCAATGGTATGGCAGAATGTTTAATGCTTTGGACTTGTAGTTGAAAGTTGTCTGCATCATGCCAAGATACTAACCCAACTGCTTCAGTCTATCCATCTGTAAAATGGGTACCAGTTTATGGTTTTGGGTTAAATTAACCAAGAATTGGCCATCTTGAGTAATGTGTCACCATTATCCTATGAAACTGGAATAAGCACTGGCTCCTATGTATTATCTAGGCATGGGATGGAGTGGACTTTTTTAATTTAACATTTTACATATTTCAAAAACCCCATAAAGTAATAAATCATTTCAATGGGTGTTATTGTTGTAGCATTTTGAAAAATAACATATTTAAAAATATTAAACTCTCATTCAGTAGAACAATATTTGCAAGATATCATATAAAATTAAATACCTGGACCTCTAACATCAACGTTTCCTGGATCTAATTCACTATCTGCTTGTGGAGGAGTCAAAGCAAGAATATCAGGATAATGAACATCTGCTGCATCAAGATGTTGCTGTGTCCAAGGTCGAGGATCATTTTCATCATAATCAGTAGTGGTTATTACTGTGTGAGTATCTCCAAAGCTGGGATCTGGAGAATGTTCATTTTTCATCCTCTTGACAGAGGGATGATCTCCCAAGTCCTCATCACTCCATTTTCCTATGTCAGAAGGAATGGCATTGTTATCGTTGGAATCCACATCAGCTCTGTGAGTAAAAGCATGCTTGTGCATATTCCTAAAAGTTAAAAAATAAGTCACAGTTTAAGTACAAAGAACAAAGTTTGAATTTTCAAGCTTATACTTGAAATATGTCACTTTAAGTAGGTTTGTTAAACAAATTTACAAAATTTTTAATTGCAATAAGTTTTTTTTAATTGTTAAGTAATGTACAGAACAGTTGCTTTACTTGCTAATGAAAGAAAACATATTAATAATTCAACTTACAACATGTATTAGTTTTTAAACTATTTAAAGATCTACATGATTTTATAAGTTACAAATTCTTTATATTGTAACATACTTAAGTCAATGAAATACCATCAATTATACCTCATCTCCTGTCCATCTGGTCCTCGACGTTGTGACTGCTGCCTTTGACAACTATTATTCTTGAAGAAACCCTCAGGAAACCAGGTGATACCTCGTACTCGTTTCCTCTGTGCTGTAACAAGTACTCCAAGTAGCAGTCCAAGCAAGATTATCAAAATCACTCCAATAACGATGTAAACCATATTTGGATAGGTGACATCAGGAGTGTGATTATTCTCAAGTTCACCTGAACCTTGAATCTTTTCAATTTGGAAAGCAGTATCCAGGGAATGACGAGAATGAGATGCAGCAAGAAACCGTGCAGCCTATGAAGTGAATTGAAGTTTGTTTGTTATGCACCTCAATAAATAAAAATAATTACACCAAAAAATGTTGTTTTACATATTTGGCTCTAAATTATAAAATATATTTTGAAAAACTGGTCCATAAATCCTGGGAACACTTCATATTTCATAAGCTTAAAAAGCAACATAAATTAGTTATGTACTTACTTCTGCTGCTGACTGGAAACATTCACTATACGTTGATTTAAGACATCGTCGATTATCAATCTCCAAATGAACTTCAATTCTGGGAAAATAGAAAATTATAACTGAAACAAATTTAGAAGATAAAATGTAACTTTTTATTTTAAAAAATTAGTTCTTTTTTACACTGAAGAGTGCCAATTTATAAAACTTGATTTTGAAATTATCATAATAGACATTGAAGAAGCTAGAAGTATTACTAGTGTTTCAAATAATACACCAGTGTTTATTATAGTCTGCTTTTAAAAGCCATAAGTTCTTATGATAACTTCAAGAAATTGTAAACAATTTTACAAACTCTTGAGATTTTATATTCTTATATAAAACAATTATCACACAGCAAAAATAATTCTTATAATGAAAACATGTTTTTTTACATCTGGCTACTAACATAGGATATCAATATGAAAACTCACCCAAATTTGCCACTATGCCGGGAAAGCTCATCGGGATCTCTAGGTTTCCATGGATAAATCATCTGATCCCCTTTAATGTTCGTTTTAAGCCTTACATTTGTTCGTAGAACATGTCCAATTTCCCTCAAAAGGGAGATGTTGTTAGCTTGAAAGTCCTATTTACAGTCAAAAAATTTTGCTTACATTGAATAACAGCATCTTAGAATCTGCAAATGTATTTTCTAGTAACATCACATGTCCCTTTTAAGCATTACGTATGAAAGAACGTTTCATCTTATTTACATATGAACATAGTTTTACATCCTACATTTCTTGCATAAATAAATCTTGAATATTTTACATTAAAAATTATAAAATAACTAAAACACATGTAGTTCAAGAAAGGAAAAATCTTTATTACATTGTTAAATTATTTGTCTGAGATGAAACTAATAATTGCTAGTTTTTAGTCTTTAGCCATCTCTAAAATGGCCTGAAATAGACTACACTTACTGCTGAATCCATCAAAATGAAGATGACAAGTTCACCATCTGCTAACTGAGGATGATCATTTTCACAATCCAAACCATCCCAATTACACTCCTCTTTATTACATTCAGAATCACACCTTCCATTTGCATAATTCATTTGGCAGTAGCTATCATATAATTCACTGTAAAAGTTCAAAACAAAGTTCTTTACAGCTTTTCTAGGATGAAATATTGTTGATTGATGCACACTTTAACAATAAGCATTCTAAACACTTATAACTAAATAAATTAATGGAAATGTAATGAACATTTATCAACCAGATGTTTTTTCCATATAATGTCTTATCATCAAAATTGAATTTCCCTAATAAACTCATATAAAATATATAGACACAGGTTTTTAATTTAAATTTTTTGCAACAGACACAATGACAAAAATTTAAGTTGATCTTGCCATTTTCTGAATTCTATATAAATGAATGAAGCTATTACACACTTTATTTCATATATTTTTTAATTTATAATATGTTAAGATATTAGAAAAACTTTGAATATATCTTGAGTAATAAGGCTTTAAAACAACTTTAATTTCAAAGAAGCATGAAGGAGTAAATTTTCTGAAACAACTTTTACACTTTTTTCAAACCATTAAAACAAACCTCAGAAGTCCTCATTAATCAAAATTCAAAACAAGATTTACATTTCAAATTTCAAGCTTTCTCCTACATCTAAGAGCCAAAACGTTAACATTTTTTTAACAAATTGCACATTTATTAAATCAAACATCTATTAAGAATTCAAAAAATTCAAGTATTACACAGGCCTGCAATGGTTATATTTCTACAATAATTCCTGTACACTGAATCCGAAAATGATATTCATTTTTCTCCATCACGTACAGATTTTTCACAAAATGTCATATGTACTTTTACATAAGTGAATCATTTTCATTGAAACTGGGTCACATTTTGTTATGCTTAAAATGTGGACAACCCCTGGCTATAGATTCCTTTAGACCAATCACAACATGAGAGTTTTATTGATTGTTCTATAACCCATGAGAAACACACTGCTAGTATATAAAAGGTTAACAAGCCGCAAGACGTGTCATTTCTGGATAGTATTTGTTTGTGCGTGCACTTTGACATAATTTTTTTCTTTTCAATATTATTAATTTGTTGCTATAGCAACAAGAGGTTGTGTAAATCACCCAGACATATTCTGTTACATTTGTGGTAATTTGTTGTAACGAAACAAAGGCAAAACATTACAGAATTCGTCAAAAAAGCATATTACAAAAACAACTCTTAGGCTCCACACAAACTTTGCACCATTTGTGTCAAAGAGTTGAGACAATGGACTAAAGGTAAGAAAAAGTTTTTGCCTTTTGGAATTCCAATGGTCTAGCATGAGCCTAGAAACCATAGGGATGGTTGATATTTTTGCTCATGTAACGTGCAAGGCTACAATAAATACGAAATTTCTTATCCAAACCTTCAACCTGCTATAAGACCTGTTGCTCATGGACCTGATGTACCTGTACTTACTCCACCAGAGATTCTTGATACAGTTTCATCTAATTTTGAATCTGGTATCAATAGAAATTATGATAGGGATTATTTTCAACCTGAAACATCTGGTGAACCACATCTTTTCACACAAGGTGAACTTTGTGAAAGATTTAGGCCTTCCAAAGAGTTTTTCAGAGAATTTGGGGTCCAGACTTCGGGTTAAAACTTACTTTCTCCAGGGACATCATTTTACTAGTACAGAAGTCGTGAGAAAGAGTTTATACTATATTTTTTTGCAAGAAGGTTCAATAGTTTGTTGCAACAATATTGTTGAATTAATACCAATATTAGGAGCTACAATCTGTGAACCAAGTGAGTGACAATTGTTCATTAATTCCTCCAAAATAAGTCTAAAAGGTGTTCTCCTGCACAATGAGCATATATGAATCTGTACAAAAATCTCAAACTTCTTAGTAAGGTCAAATGTATGTTGTTGGATCAACAATCCAGTTATGCAAATTTTCCATGTTTTTTATGTGAATAAGACAGCAGAGCACAAAGTCAGCCTGAAACCAGGATCAAAAAACATTGAATGTGAAAGTTTGGTTAACACAAAGAAAGTCCTATTACCTCCACTTCAGATAAAACTGGGCTTGATGAAGCAGCTTGTAAAGGTCTTAGACAAAGATGACAACTGTTTCAAGTATCTATGTGGGTAATTCCCAGCTCTTTCAGAAGCAAAATTTAAAGAAGGGATTTTTTGGGGGCCTCAGATTAGGAAATTGGCGTTGGTTAAACAATTTGAAAGGATAATGAGGAAAGTTGAAAAAAAAGTGTGGATTGCCTTTAAAAATGTTACTTACAAATTTTTAGGAAACAACAAGGACCCAAACTACGAAAATAATGTCAATAACATGCTCAATAAATTCAAAGAGTTGGGTTGTAATATGAGCTTCAAAGTTCATTTCTTACACTCACATATTGACTATTTCCCTGAAAACCCTCAGTGTCATCAGTGAAGAACAAGGGAAAGGTTTCATCAAGACATCATGAAAATGGAGAGGAGGTATCAGGGAAGGTAAAACATCAGCATGATGGCTCATTACTACTCGTCATTGAAACGAGATGCTTCAGATGCAATACATAAAAGAAAGACCACAACACATAAGTTTGAGAATAAAAGATGTAGATTTCACATTTTAAAAAATCAGGATGAATGAGGTTGCATATTTGTTTGACATAAATGTTTTTCCCTTTTCTTCAGTTTTTTTGTATTTTTGTTAACAAACATGATAATTAAAAATGTTTATCATGGTAAACAAAATAATAATTTGATCTAAGTAAGAGTTATGTTTCCTTCCTGATTTGTAAAAATCCTTATGTGATAGAAAAAATGAATATTATTTTCAAATCTGCATAGCTGAGTTATGGAGAATCCATTATTAAACCCAAAACAACTTTTATGAAATTAAATTCACGGGCCTGTGTTATTTTTCAAAGAATGTTTTTAGTTTACACCAGAGTTTATAGAAATAATTATGGGTAACAATTTTAACAAGTGCATTAACTTGGAGATGTTCAGAAGAGTGTGAATTTGCAAACAAGGGGTAAATGGAATTTGTATTCCAATAGTTAAACAGTGTTCAAATTCTACATACTTGCATGGTGAAAGGTACTGAGTGCAATCAAATCCATCAAAGAGACATTCAGTGTTGTTACATTCAGGGTTACACTCATGGTTGCGGAATACATCCCAACAGTTGATAGCTGCTGTACAATTTTCCCATGGTTTTATACCTATGAATAAAACATTTTATTTTTAACTATGTTTCATTCAAAATGTTTTAAAAACAAACACAGTGGTTTCATTGTATTATAATACTGTTTTTGCCAGCTCATAGTCAACAGTCAGGCTCTTTCTTTGGGCCAGCATAAGTACCATACCATATACTACACATTAGCTACCTTTCAGGCCAGTGATGTTTCAATGATAGTAGGCCTAGATAAATGCTAAAACTTAAAACTATATGTCACATGCTGAATATTCCAACAATCAGAATAAACTTTAATTATTTAATTTAACTCAACAAAACTCTCAAGCATTGATGGCATGTATTGTTTTTTAGGCCCAGTGTACATAGTTTTTGCAAGAAAATTTGGATTACCTTCGAGTCTACTACTATATAATTCCATATCTAATTCAAAAACAAATTTTAGTTGTATTGCTATATTACTTCTTTAGGGTATCCAAACATATTAGTGTTTAGTGCTTTTCTTAGGTTACTTCATTATATACATGAAATTTCTATGAAGTTTAATTATAATATGCAATTAATTACAGTTATATTAATAATAACTTTTTAGTTTAATATGTGCAATTTTAATAGTTAAATAATTTAATGTTATAATTGTCAATTATTTGTCAACTATACTTACTGTTCTTCTAATTAAATATTCAAAAAATGGTGGTGATATTTTGTCTTTTGTGCACAGATAGTAAATCACTAAAAATGGATTTTATCTAGTGACTGACATTCACAGAAATATTAAAATGGATCTGTTTATTTTGAGCTTACTGGATGCTGTTCTAAACTTGTATTATAAATAGTGAAATAATAAATATCATTCTGTTGTAAATGGTCTTTTTGAGAGCATTAAATGTTCTCTATTTTTGCATTTTCAGGTTTAGTTAACTATGACAGTTGTTCTGTATAAACATAAATTGTGAGATGACAGTAGTTTAAATCTGGTATTGGGATATACTCTGAGATAAAACATAATTTTATCTCCAATTTTTATAAGCAAAAATAAACTTTACATGCCTAGTATTATATTATTGTTTTTCCCATGTATTACAAAATATAGCACTTTTCAATGTTTAACTATTCTTGACATACAACAATGAGAATAAGCACTGAAAATTCGTAATTAGAGTACTTAATCATACATATTCATAAAATATGAAATCAAAACAAAACATAACCATTTCTATCAGAGTCTAGTTTAGAAATAAAAATAATATTAGAAACTTAAAATAACCTACATACAAGGCAATACAAATGTACAGAACAATATATTGAACCTATGTAAAAGTAAACATCATAATATCTGTTGCCAAAGGTTATCAAACTGATCATAAAGACTTTCAGAAGTTGCTTGCAGGTGAAACAGTGCAACCAGTTACTTACACTGTGCAAAAGTGTGATGTGAAAACTACTGAAAACACATTTGCTTTCATTGTTTCATCAGAAAACATCACACTTCTTTCTTGAGAAATCATAAATCTTTTCAATGGATGGTACCACTGTTTATTTTCAATGACTTCCCAAATTCACTCAAGACTTGGTGTTATAGTGAAAATACAGTATTCCTTGAATCTGTGAACAAACTAACATCAGGTAGCATTCAACCTCACAGAGTTGTAGATTATGTAACTGGGTTACAGGTCAGTGGAACAATGGATACCATGTGGAGGGTTATTCAAAACAAAGTTGCTGTAAGATTAGAATAATAAAAGTTCTTGAACTGAATTGGATATTGTCTGTATTTCCTAAAACATACCTTCAGTGAGCATGTAAAATTTGAACATGATTGCTAAATCCATTGTATTAAGGATGGCTTTTGCAAACCAAAGAAAAGTAAATACAGTCACAAAAACACAGACTGCTTTGGCTGCAAGTCTTGTTTGAAACCAAGCAATGGCATTATTGAAATATGTGGCATTGAAGATTCAACTACAGTTATTGATATTTGGGCAAAAATGAAGCTCTTCTTAGGACATAGATTATTAGTTAATCAACAAAAAATTGTATCAAAAATTACATAACGAACTTAAAACAGTGTAAAACGAGAACTTTATGTATGGTTATTGTTGTAATCAACTTCAAGATGAAACTTGAAGCTACATAGTTCAAAGAATAGACAACAGAATGTTATGGGTAAATAGGGATAAGCTGGCATGGAGAAATGATAAACTAGCTAAACTAGCAATGAAGCCTTGATTTGCCTTACAGAAATTCAAACAAAGTTTCAATGGCACTATGGAAGATGGGTTTTCAACTGATTATAAAGTGAAAATAAAATACCTAATTTGAAAATTCAAGAGAATGACAATTTATTTCTTACTGTACCTGAAATACAAGAACTAATCAATGGTGCTGAACATTATTCTAATTAATAATTCTCCTTATATTTATTCCTTTTATTTTGCTTATAAATATTTTGTAAATAACATCTTGTGTGTATTTTGTCTGTTACTTCTCTTATTTAAACACTCTCGGTTATTGTTGTTGTTTATATACCGAAAGATGACAAACTATTAGAAACCAACAGAAAAATGTGGAAAAAAAATCTATGGTTAACTTGATTCTTATAACTTCTCATTATTGTTTGCACTGAAACACCAAAAAATAGTTGAACCTAATCAAAATAGGTCAACTTTCTCAAACTTTCTAAGCGATACAGCAAATTCAAGAGACAAATTTAGAACTACAAGATTCAATGGTGTGAAAATTTATCAACAAAATTTAAGAATTTTTGGCCTGGTTAAGTCACAAGTTCAGAGTTAAAATACATTAAAACTTACTAAAGCCTTAAATGGAGTCTATAAATTTATTGACTAGGTAACATTTTCTAAAAAATACTCTTTCTTTAGAACATGCACATGAATGATATTTTAATAATTTCTGTTAACAGGTCTATAAAAGAATGTCATGCTTTTTTCTTGTCAAAAGAGTGGCCAGCCAACACCTAAACTACGCTTACCATAAATCAGCACCATTGGTTAAAAGCACTTTAACCAATGTACTAAAACTGAAAATTAGATTTGGATAATATTCAAAAATAGAAGTAAATGAATAAACTAAACTGGCTATTAATTACACCTTTTGAATACAATTACCCAAAGAACAATCTCCTCCATCAAAATTGCAAGCCAAACTGTTACACTCTTCATCACAATGATGGTCTCCAGCCTTAGATTTGCACATTTGGAAAATACACTGTTTCTTCTCTTCCTCTAAAGACTTCTGTAGGTTCTCAACTGAAATAAATACTGCCCCAGTTCCTCCTCTGAAGACAGGATCAAGATTTTCACAACGAAACCCATTCCAACTTTGTGGACACACACATTCAAATTTACCTGATTAAAAAAAATAAAAAATCAGCAAGAAAAACTCACATCTTAATGTATGAATATTTATCTTCATTGATAAGTTCTGTTAAAAAAGGTACTGAAAGTATCATATCGTACATGATTTCATAAATTTTTTCAGGTTAGTATCATTTTTTTATCCATTAGTTGTATGATTCCCAGAAATATTGAGAATAGACCCTATAAACAAATTGGAAATCAATTAGCATAAATATGTAATCAGATTTATCAATATTTAACTAAAAAATTTTATTTTGTTACACAATGGAACACTTTCTGGTTAGATGCCTGTAATTTCAAAAAACAGAAAAAATGTTATGAATTTGCTCTGATACTAACTAGGTTTTTGATGCATTAAAATGTTATCAGAATCCTGAGTTTCTTATTGATTAGAATTTGTAGATACATTTTAATTAAAATTTCTAACACAATAAAGAACTAGATATTCATAAGCTTTTTATCTACTTTTGACAATTATTGTTACTTATCAACTGCCAATGAAATATGGATTAGTTTGTTTGTTTTAGAGCAAAGCCACAATAGACTATCTGCTGTGTCCACCATGGGGAATGAAACCTTGGATTTTAGCATTGTAAGTTTGTAGACTTACTGCTGTCCTATCAGGGGACGTATGGATTAGTAGCTTCAAAAAGAACTTTAAAGGGTGTAAACTGTCAATTGGTAAGGATGAGGAGAAATATAATTTATTTATGATTACGAGTTTTAAGTATCAACAATACCAAAGGAAAAAGTAGTTGTATAGAGACTGGTGGAGCAGAATATTGGAAATGTTATTCATTTGATGCACAGAAAAGTACCTACCCATTCTATTAATGCAAGTTCCTTCATTCAAGCATGGTGATGATATACACTCATCATAAATGTCAATATCACAGTGTTTGCCATTAGTCCCCTGAGGACATATACAAATGTACCCAGTATGATGAGGTTGGCAATGGCCTCCACTTTTACAAGGGTTACTAGCACATGTAATGTCAGTGTTTCCACAGTTTTCTCCCCAGAATCCCTAAAAATAGAATATAAGCAACTAGAGTTAGAGTAGATCAGGACTGCTTTTGCAATGAAAGCTCTATCAGTAAACATTTCTAAATGTCTTCCTTCTTAAGTCAGACCACATTTCTAGTTAAAACATTCCATATTAATGCAAATATTTTTCAATTCTACTCATTTAACATAAGAATGTTACTCTGATATTTTCCTACATCTACTATAATTTTTTTGTTTATTCTGAAATATGGTGACTGCACATTCTCTGCCTGTTAGTTTATTTCCATCCATCATTGCATAAGAAATTAATTTATAAAAAATATATAATATCTAGTGGTATTCATAAAATTCAAACCAGTATGTGTGTGCGTGTTGTCTATCTTATACACTATAACTCTTCTACTACTTTACATAAAATTAGTGAAAAAAACGTATTTTAGAAGTGCTTTAAAATATAACTTTTTTTTTCATACTAGGCAGAAATAGGCAACCCTTGCACCAAATAGGAAAATTGCATATAACTTGTTTAATGATAAGAGTAGTGTAATGTTGTAAGTAAGCTATATTTTCAATGTTATGATTCAGTTATTTGCTATAGAGAAAGCTGCTAATTAGGATGACGACACTAGATCTAAAAAGTTCTTAAATGTAGTCCTATAGAATACCTAGAAAGTTCATGATCTAGAAATTTTTTGGAATTTGGAGAAATGAGAGTACATTATAAATATGAGTAATCAGTGATAATTCAGTGGAATTTTCAATGAATGTTTCAGTTCTATTCTGCTATTCAGTAACTTTGTGAGTTACATGTTTGTCCATCAATGAAAGTAAGTCAGGTATAGTTACCATTGGCAAGGAATTTCTGTTGAAATATTATCTGTGAACTTAGGCCTACCACCTTTGTGTCAAAGTGAATGTATCCTGTAGCAAATGTTATAGAGAAAATAAATTAATTTATCATAAGAACCTCCCAAAGTAAAGAGCAATGGTTCAACAATATCATAAGCAGAAACTCTGAATAGGTAACTTTTAATCTAATTTTTCAAATAACAATCATTCAGTTTTTAACTACCAGGATATTCACATGGTTTCAATAGCATTATTATGTTTGGAAAATTTCCACAATTATAATACTTTTAATATTAAAGCAATAGTATTAACAAAAATTAATAAATGTAAGAAAAAAACTTATGTGTCAAGCACAAACATTTTGATGCTTACAACAGTACTAATGTTATCTCACTTTTCTTAAACATTTATTTATACATAAGAGTTAAAATACTTACGACAGGGCAAACACAGTTAGGACCATTTTGACTGCTATTACAGATTCCACCATTTAAACATGGGTTTGAAGCACAGAAATCAACCTTGGTCTCACAGTGTCGACCCATAAAACCAGGTTTGCATCCACACTGATAGTCATTGACTAATTGTACACAGTCCTGAGCACCGGGGTTACTACAAGGGTTGGAGAGGCATTCATTCACATCACCTTCACACCTGAAATCACATTTTAATGGTCAAGTTCAGTTGTAATCAATTATTAATAATTCTGAATATACCTGAAATTGCAGTATGATGACTAAAACTTTTTGGCATTGCCAACATTGTTTTTATTAAAGCAAAGCCACATTGGACTATCTGCTTTGTCCACCATGGGGAACAGAACCCTAAATTTGACCATTATAAATCTGTAGGCTTACTGCTGTACCACTAGGTGACAAACGTTGTAGATGATGCTATTTCTTCAATCTAATTATGTAAAAATTTCTTTGTAAAGCAGTTGAGTAAAATAGCTGGTTTTTCATGAAAATAACAAAATGACTCCCAGTAGAGGACTATAATACAAAAATATTAATGTAAAGCTATTCCTCTCTATGTGAAGTAAATCATAAGCTACACATAGTTGTGTAACAACATGAACAAAGAATATTTTTATGTAACTGACTAGTAGGAAATATATAGAGAATAGAATCTATTCTTTGAAATCTGTTTAAGTGTTTCAGAAAATCTTTCAAATTGAAATATCACTATATATATACAGAACTTCAAATTTCTGCCAAAGTTTTAATTAACATAAATGTAAAAGAATAGAGTGCTTTTTGCATTTTTGCATTATTCTTACTTAGTTATTTTTCCAAGAAGACTAATAAAAATATAGCTTTTTTCTTCATTCCACAAAACATAGCATGCCACACAGCTGCAGTTAACACTTCTTTGTGAAGAAAATTTTGGTAACAGCCTAAACAAATATATTTAGATTAAAATGCCCAATAGTTTAATTTTAATTAATTAAGTCATACTGAACACTTTTGAAAACTATAATATATCACAACTGAATAAAAAATCTTCAAAAAAAGAAGATTGATCCAAACACTGGGCTTTGTGAACTGCAAAAAACTATTATAAGAATACCAAATTTGCTTGTTTGAGAGCAAAGCTACCTGATGCATCTGCTGCAGGAAATCAAACCCCAGATTTTATTGTTTTAAGTCCATAAACTTACTGCTGTTCCACTGGGGGGACAAATGACAAAGAAATGAGATTTAATTGACATATTATTTCATGCTTATAAGATAAATTGACAGAACAATAATAAAATGCTTTAATAATGAGTGTATCAAGGAAAATAGTATAAATGTAAACAGATGATATACCTTGGTCCTACAAATCCTGGTGGACACACACATTCATAGCCTCCAACTTTATCGATACAAGAGCCTCCATGGTGGCATGCTCCATCAAAACACTCATTCTCATTTATCTCACACAGAACACCCACAGTTCCATGGGGACAGGAGCAAACAAACTTATTAACTAGGTCATGGCAAGTTCCTCCATTTCGACATGGTTCTGGGTCACAATCATCAATATTGACCTCACAGTTTAAGCCTGAAAAAAATATAAATCAATTATTTTTTGGTTTGGTTTCTAGTTAAGTTTGCATTGGTGGTAAAATATTGTTAGAAAGACAAAAAACACTGGTAAAAAAAAGAACAAGGTAAATACATTGTAGTGTTTTAATTATGCCAAACAATAATCACCTTCAAAACCAGAAGGGCAATCACATCTGTATTGTCCAATCATGTCACGACAAGTTGCACCATTCTGGCATGGTTGTGATGCACATTCATTGATTTCATGTTGACAGTAACTTCCTTCATAGCCCTTTAGACAGTAGCACTGATGACTATTTCCAATGTTTTCACATGTTCCACCATTATTGCACAATTCACTCACCTCAATGCCTAAAGAGGACACAGAATTAAAATTTCACATTATCTACTATATAACAGGTGAGCTAAGAAAACATTTTCATTTTATAAGTTATCATTTGAGACAAAGATCACCCATCAATGTAGTAAAAATATAAAAGTACTATATGTTTATTTTACTAAACCCTAAACTTCCACAAAAACAAAGGTGCTAAGGATGAAATAATTAATTTGTAGAGTTAAGTGTCCTAATTAAAAATCAATCTTTGCTATCCATTAAGTATTTTGATGACATATATGCACTTTTATATTTTTTTTTATTATATTTCACATATCTGAGACATATTAAGCTATATAAACAGAAGCTACAACATTTATGAAATGTTGTCTACTGATGAAATTTGAAATGTAATAACAAATATATTTTCCTTCTTTTGGAAATACATTACAATTCTAAAAGAATGATCAGGGTTCACTACTCTAAGACACTAATGGAGATACCTTTTTGAAGGGCAGCATCAGAGCAAGACACCATTGACACATCACAGAGGATACCCGTCCACCCAGGTCGACACACGCACTGGTATGCATTTTTATTTTGCTTACACGTAGCTCCATTCATACATGGTTTTGTATTACACCAGTCAAACACATCCTGTAATGTAAGAAATCAATAACCCTCTTTTGAAAAGGAACAAAAAATATATTTCATACCACTACAAACACTGTTTTTAACATAAAACATACGTATGGTTTTAGATAAATATATTGTAATAATTAATCAAAAATGTTTTAATTGATCTATATTACAACTTAAATTTAAAAACCTAAAGTTATTTAAAACATATCAAATAAAGATAAATAAGTCATTATTTTTTGAGCCATTCTTAAAAAAAAAAAGCACTAACACTACGTGTTACCAGTGGTAAAGCTCAAGAATTAGAAAGTAAGATATAATGAAATACAAATAAAATATATACAGACATGTTATTTGGGTGCACTGAATAAAAAAATGCTTTTACTGAAATAATTAATCAAGTTTTCATTTTGTGAGCATGGTATTGTTTTAATAAAACTGTCATTATTTTTAATTACTTAAAAATTAGGTTTATCTCACAATGATTATTTCCAAGAAGTTTTATGAATGGGGCAAATTTTATAGAGTTGTTTATAACTACAAAACAGATAAAATGGACATCTGCTCTTACTTGACACTGCAACCCTATATAGCCAAATACACAGTGGCATGTGTAGTACCCCACATGGTCAACACATGTTGCTCCATTCTCACAGGGGTTGGAATCACATTCATTAATGTGTAATTGGCAGTTTGAACCTGTGTATCCCTCGGCACAGTGACAAGTGTAGGTATTAATTCCATCTATACAAGTTCCTCCATTCATGCAAGAGCTGGAAGACATGAAATACTTTAGAATATACTCCTATCACAGCTAACATTTTATTTATACTAGCCTGTAAGAAGTAGCAAGGCGTACATGTAGTCCAAGTATAATCTCAGTAGTCATACATATTTATAGTGTTTGGAACCCCTCATATTTCTGTCAACAATCTTGTAATTGTATCCAGCATAATCAACAATAACCAATGCAGATACAATTGCATTTGATTTACAATTATATTATACAGGCCTGCAGATCTAAACTTCATAAAAGCCATTTTGATTTTAGTAACAGATTTTTCATAATTCAGCTATGCAGATTTCAAAAATAACTCTTACTTAAATCAAATTATTATTTCATTTACCACAGTGAACATTTTTTATTATTATGTTTGTTAACAAAAATACATACAAACTGAGGAAAAGGGCATTGATGTTAAATGAATATGTATCTTCATTCATCCTGATATTTTTGTGAAGTCTAAGTCTTTTAGTCTCAAAATTATGTGTTGTGGTAGATTTTTTATGTATTGCATTATGACATTTTGTGAAAAATCTGTACAAGATGAAAAAAAATGGATATCATTTTCAGATTCAGTGTACAGGAATTACTGTAGAACATGTAAAAATTTCAAGACAATAAAATCATCACAAGCCTGTGTTATTCATCTAAATATAGTAGAAGTCTGAAATAAAATTGTTTCTTCGATAATAGTGAAAAAAAGCCTCTAAATGCATTAATAAATTATAATTACTTTACTTTTCCAATAGCACTGTAATAGTTTTCTTTATTGACAATCACCTGAAGCAGGGGTTGTTACTTTCACACTACATAAAACATCTAACATCCTTGCTTCATTCTGCACATTAACACCCATTCACAAGCTTAAAAGAACTGTTTTTAATGTATCTAGAAACAATATTCATTACAACAGGTTTCATAATTTTAACATACTACTCCAATATATGTCAACATGTATACAAAATATCTAGTTTCAACTTCTGGTTTAAAATATGAAATTGCACTTGTGTGATTTATATAGCTATTATTAATCTATACTTCAAGATGCTGCTTGTTTGGTGTCAAATAAACTGTTGTGTAGAACTAGCTTAACCAATTTTGATTACACTTGGTAGAGGAATTCAGATGAACTCTGAAAGGTTGAACTTAAGGGAATACACTTAAATGAATTCCAGGTTTGGAAGGGTTATCGTATGAGGATAGATTGAAATCTCTTTACATGCTTTTGCTGAAGAAGGATTTGTGGGAGTATGATTGAGTTTTTTTTATGATTGTTAGGAACTTGGAATCCATTTAGATGATGTTTTCATAATAAACCTCTGCTGGCAGTAAGATTAGAGTACAAAACTTTAAGATATGGAAAATCAGGCAGGACTCGGTTAAGGCAGAATTATGTTCCTAATAGAATAGCTGCCTTCAGGTGCAGGAGAAACTAAAATGTTAGAGAAATTAAAGAGGAGATTGGATGATGAGCATTTTAAAAGTCAAGGTTAAATATAGGAAAGGGGTTTTCATAATTTGAGGAAGACAAAAATGGGAGATCCTAGATGGACCAAATGGCCCTTGTTATTCCTAGGAAGTGGATGACTGAATAAATTAATTTCTCTCCTAATGATCCCATACCTAGAAGTACAATCTTCATCATTAGTCTGGCAGTTTGTTCCACTAAATCCAAGTGCACAACTGCAAGTGTAGCTGTTCACATAATCCTTACAAGTAGCTCCATTTTGGCAAGGGCTGCTGGCACATTCATCAATGTCAGTTTCACAGTGTTTTCCTCCAAAACCATCAATACAGAGACAGGTGTACTCCCCAATATCATCTAAACATGTTCCTCCATTCTGACAAGGAACTAATTAGAAGGTAAATAAAACAAGAGTTAAATTAGGAAGGACTTTTTGGCTCATATGAATAAAGTTTCACCTAAGGTTTAGTATGCTACAACCAAGTCATCCTGATGAGATTTCGTATAAGTGAAAGGCCTTGTTGGCAGTAGCATAAAACAAACAAGGTATATTATGCACTCTTTTCAATAAAAGCTCATATCTGGCCAGCAAAGAATGATGTGATTTAAATCAGTCAGTCTTAATAGGATGTTACATTACACATATATTATTATCAAAAGTTAAAGGACAAAGTCAAAATAACACTTTTCAAGAAACCTGAAAAATTATTTTCTAATGTCAGTATTAAAATGTTTCAAAAAGCACAGTTCAACATATTGTTTTACTAAACAATTCTTCCTAAATGTATGAAAAATAAGAACAATACAAAATTTAGGATGAATATATGTTAAATTTTGTTTGTTTGTAGTTAAGCACAATGGGCTATCTGTGCTCTGCCCATTATGGGTATCAAAACCCAGTTTCTAGTGTTGTAAGTCCACAGACATACCTCTGTGCTACTGGGAGGTGACATGTTTTAAATAATACATAAACTTTGTACACTACTCATCAGATTCTGGATTTTATGACATATTAGTGAGCCTGTGGACTTAAGACCCACATTTACAGGACTGCTATAATGCAAATTTATTACTTAAATTACTATTTTGCACTTTTTCAGTTTAATTATCATTGCTGCTATAATGCAAATTTCATTTATTCATCCAAGTTACGAATGGTTATTAGTAGGCCTATTTATTTATTTACATGCTCTAATGTAAATAAATGCCAAATTGGGGGTAAGCTTTCAAGGAAATCCCTGTAAAAATGTTTTCTGAAAATATCCACAATCCCTAAAGGGTTGATTGAGCAAAATGTTTTATCTTTATGCAAACCTCGGGGGCCGAGACATTCATTTGGCATAATATAACAAACTCGTGGGTACAAAGATGCTATAATGCAAATTAAATTCTTGAACTACTGTATTTATGCACTCTAATGTTAATCAATACTAAATTTGGGGGCTGCTTTCAGGGAATGCCCATAAAAGTGTTTTCACAAAATACCTGGGCTCCCTAAGGGGTGAGGTGAAAATATTTACCTTTGTGCATATCTGAGACAATTGGTTTTGGACCATTTAGAAGTTGGTGTGACTAGCAGTTTAGGAGGAGTTATGTGACACACAGCCACTAAATCTTATTACAGATTGTGGCTAACAATAGTAGAAATAAATATTTCATATTAGATTTACTCTAAACATTTATAAACATTCTAAAGATTTCATAATCATAACAAATTTACTCTAAAGATTTCATAATCATATCAAATTTACTCTACAGCTTTCATAATCATATAACATTTATATACTACATTTACTTCAAAGATTTCATAGTAAGTATACTGTATTAAGACAGTGCATACTAAACATTACTACAGAACTTACAAGATGCACAGTCATCTATGTTTACTAAACAGTCTCTTCCTTCATATCCTTTAGCACAGATGCAGGTGTACGAACCATTGATGTTAACACATGTGGCTCCATTATGACATGGTGATGAAATGACACATTCATTGATGTCTTCATCACACAATCTGCCTATGGAGAGAAAAATATATTTGTATGTCAAAAAAAGTGTTCTGAAACTTATAATGAAAAAAATAAATAAAAAAGGTTTATAAGACATCAAATTAAAAAACTGCAGGAGTTCAAACAGAGATGAAACCTTAAGAGGCAAGACTTACCTGTATAACCAAGTTCACAAGTACAGGCAAAATCCAAGTAATTTGAGGATGGAGTGCATTTTGCTCTGTTTTTGCATTTATTTGGGTAGCATGGATCCAGTTTCACTTCACATTTCTGACCACTATAAGAAACCACACAGGTACACTCATAAGCATTAACTAAATCAATACAGGAGCCCCCATTCAAGCATGGGCTATCTGCACAATCATCGACGTTCACTTCACAGTTTTGTCCAGTATATCCTTCCAGGCACGTACACACATAGCTAGCCAGAGCATCATGACAGCTGCCTCCATGTTGACAAGGGTTCGATTGACATTCATCTATGTCCAATTCACAGCGAAGACCTCCATAACCTGGGTAACATATACCAACAAATAAACAATGGCATGACAAGCAGATATGGAGTTAGATAAATACAAATATCTGTTATAACTAACATGTGAAAAAAAAGTGTGGAGACTATACTGTTTACCTTGATTATTTGTCACGTCAATGTTTAAGTCTAGTCTATGAGTCAATGAAACTAAATTTGGAGGGGGGGAGGTGAATGTCACACAGAGAATGCCACTATTTCCAATACTGAGCTTAGACCCCCCCCCAAAAAAAGTATTCCAATAAAAGACACAATCTGCTAACCTCACAAATCACAGTTTGCTGTTAAAAGTGCTCACCTCTCAATACTATTCAGCCATGACAACGTCGGATTTAGGGGTTTGGTGAGCTGTGTTCCTCTTTTATAATATAGTTTAACTTTAAGTGTTATGTTTAGGCAGGTGCCACACCTACTCGTTTTAAAGCAGCAAATAAACTTCGTTGAGCTCTTCTCAGCCATCTCTATCGACAAAACTCGCAAAAGCCGAGTTTAAAAAGACTTTATAGAGCTGAGGCACCAGATTTTGTATTGCACAACATGTGCAGCCACTAGTGTGTTTGGCGTGGGAATTTTGACGTGGGTATGGGTTTTACTTCGTCATAGCCTGGAAACTAGGATGAAGTTTACCCATGCTGGTAGGAAATTCAAACTGCAGATATTGCAAGAAGTTCAAATTTTTATTCAAAATAATATAGATTATCGGAAAGCTTTGTTTGAGAATTAATCCAAACATTTCATCCTGACTCGCACACTGGTGTTAACAAACAACAATCCAATTTATAAATCTTAAAAATGTATATAAACATATTTCATAAAAACGTTTATGGCGACATAGAATCAATAACGACATGATACTTGGAGAGCTTGTAGAATCATAAATATACATTTTTTCCCCTTTGTGATGAATGTCTACGCTCTACGTGATTGATGAAAAACAATCTATCACACACATTTTACAGATGTTGGAAAAAATTATTCGGTTTCTTTTTATTAAGTTGGAGATTACATTTTATTATTATTCTATAATCTACAGTATATATTGAAAAGTCATTTATCAAAATTGTAATGTGTATGTTTCCCAATACTAACCTTGAGGGCAGTGACAAATGTACCTGTTGACTTCATTTTCACATGTGCCATTATTTAAACACGGATCGCTTTCACATTCGTTGACATCAGAAAGACAGTGTGCATCAAAATATCCCCTAGGGCAGTCGCATTTAAATCCATTCTCAAGATCAATACATTTACCTCCATTTGCACAAGGACTTCTGGCACATTCATCGATATTTATTTCACAATGGAGACCTACTCAAGAAAATTAAATAGTACTGTTTTATTTTTTTTTATTCTTTTATTTGCAAAGCCTGTAAATTGTAGCTAGATATTAAAGTAAACTTTGTATTAAAGAGCATTCTCACAATAAGGAATTATTTCTATCAAATAAATATAATCATTCATAACAGCAAAATACAGTTTGGTAGTTTTCGTTTAATGTCTCCATCTAGTGTCAAACAAAGTAAGCACTACAATAAATACAAATGTTCAGACCAATGTTTATATACATTTAGTGTTTTTAACATTGGGCTAATATATCATTGGTATTTATATATGATACCTTAAAACTTTTAATTAAAAAGTATTCAGCAAGAACATCCCACTGAACACGCATTAATTCTTAATTGTGTTTTACCATTCTAGGTCACTTTATCGAGAAAAAGATAGTAACTTTAAATTAATTTCTCCTACAGAAAAATGACGATAGGTAGCTATAAACGTATTGAGTTTGTTCAGTTAAATGTAATATACATGTTAACACTGAACAATATTGCCCTGAACCAACCTGTAAAACCGGGAGCGCATACACAAGAGTAGGAATTGATCCCATCTTTGCACGTTGCACCGTTGCGACAAGGATTGGTGAAGCACTCATTGATGTTATGTTCACAGTTCGGTCCAAAAGTCCCTAAACGACAGCGACACTGGTATCCATTGATGAGGTCTTCACAGAATCCGTCATGTTGGCAAGGGTTACTGAGACACTCGTTGATCGTGGTCTGACAGTGGATGCCAGTGTAACCAGGACTACATTTACACCTGTAACTGTTGATCCCGTCAATGCATTCTCCGTGATGGCATGGAGAAGTGTGACAGTCATTAATGTTTGTATCACATATCCGGCCTGTAAAACCTAGACATAAAAATAATTAGTGTTAAATGATCTGATAAAAGCAATTTTTAGCATATAACTGTATACTGAAATGCCTATTCTACAAGTGTATTTCTCTTATTCGGATCATGAGTGTGGTTAGTTTTATGCAAAAACGGTAGATTTACGCACAAAGAATAGGAACTTGTACAATATTTCACGAATACGATTCTGATTCCTGAGGGGTAAATTCACATAGCACGGTATTCTGTTAACTCAGTAGTGTTAACTAACATGGACTAAACATGTCTATAACATTCACTAAACGTTTCTCATTTATCCATACCTGATGAACAAGCACAAGTAAAACCTGCAACGCCGTCTTTACAGGTAGCGCCATTTCGGCACGGTTGACTAAGGCAGTCGTCATCATTCAGTTCACATTTCCTGCCAGAAAAGCCGATTGGGCAAAGGCATCTATAACCATTGATTCTATCGCTACAAAGCCCACCGTTAAAACAAGGGTTTGGAAAACATTCGTCAACATCTAGTTCACATCGATCTCCATTGTATCCTGAAAACAATTAGAAGAACTTAATATCTCATTAAGACGCACACTCTACCAAGTTAACATCTAGCTAAAAACAGTCTCCATTGTATCCTGAAAACAATTAGAAGAACTTAATATCTCATTAAGACGCACACTCTACCAAGTTAACATCTAGCTAAAAACAGTCTCTATTGTATGCTGAAAACAATTAGAAGAACTTAATATCTCATTAAGACGCACACTCTACCAAGTTAACATCTAGCTAAAAACAGTCTCCATTGTATCCTGAAAACAATTAGAAGTACTTAATATCTCATTAAGACGCACACTCTACCAAGTTAACATCTAGCTAAAAACAGTCTCCATTGTATGCTGAAAAAATTACAAAATCTTATCAAGATTCACCCTGTGTCAAGATAATTAGCAACGTTTAGTTTACATTGGTCTCTGTTGTATCCTGGGAAAAAATGCACCAAATCTCATCAAGATTCATGCTATGCCACTACATTCGAAATAATAAAACAAATCACACAAAAATGAGAAAGTTTAAGTTACACTTTCACAATATAAATGCGATATTCATGTAATGTTTTACATTTCAGCATAGCTAAAAAACTAGAGTCAATGTCGTAAATCACACAAGATTTTTAGAAATGGACGTTTGTTTGTTTGTTTGTTTTTGAAGTTAAGCACAAAGCTACACAATGGGCTATCTGTGCTCTGCCAACCACGGGTATCGAAACCCGGATTCTAGCGTTGTAAGTCCGCAGACATACCGCTGAGCTACTGGGGGGCAGAAATGGACGTACATGT